TAGAAATTAATTAAATATATAAATAAATGTAGTTTACGCTCTTATTATCATATACTCAAATATTTTATATTTTTTTGCTCAATTATTTAACATTTTGACTAGGAGTTGACGGAGAATGGAGAATCCCCGTCCCCACCTAATTCTCCGCTAGGACGGGAATGAGGAATATTTTCAATTCCTCGCGGGGGACGGGGACGGGAACGGGGTCGCAGTGACGGGGACGGGGAGTATACTCCCCGCCCGCCTCGCCCCGTTGCCATTCCAGAATATGTACTTAAAAATGAAAAATGGTTACCAAATTCTAAAAATAAGTAACCATTATAATTGTGAGAATAATGGAAACAAATTCTGCGTAATAAATGAGAAAATTCTTTTAAAATTTTGCATAATTTTATAAGAAAATAATAATTTATTAATTATTATTTACAACAATCTATACTATTAATAAAATACAAATTATCCTCTTTAAATTTTCCACCCAAACTAATAAAAAATATTAATTAATTTGTAAAAAAAAATTAATAAAGCTTAATTGGTAACAAAATTTTATATGGAAATTAACTAATATCTAATGAATTATTACCCTAAATTAAAGTCAATATGTACTTAAAAATGAAAAATAGTTAAAAAATTTTGTGAATAATTAAACCATTATAATTGTGAGAATAATTAAAACAAATTATGCGTAATAAATGAAAAAATTCCTTGAAAATATTGTACTACCATCATCATTCAACTCAGGGTGAAAAGAATTATACTACCATCATCATTCACATGCGGAGCTAGGTATATGATTCAAAACCATCAAGATGAAATGGAATATGCAGGCACATCGGTTATCCTCATTTGTTCATAACATTCACATGCAACCCGAAGTGGACTGAGATTGAGTAGTATGTTGCATAACGTGGACTTAAAACAGAGGATAGACTCGATATTGTTTGTCGCGTGTTTAAGATGAAACTTGATGCTATGATTGAAGATATCAAGACATAAAAGTTGTTTGGCTACATATGTGGAGGTATTTGATTATCATACATACTTTAATGTGCCTTAATTAAATTTAAATTTCAAATGTATAAAACTACTTTTTTTATTTTAATTTTCTACACAGTTATCTACACAATTGAATTTAAAAAAAGATGACTCCCTCACGCGCACATATTGCTATTTGCCAAAAGAATGAATCGGACACATTCCACATCGGAAGTTGATGCCTTGATTTCTGCTGAAATTCCAGACCAAGATGTGGACAATAAGTACAATGACGTAGTTAGCGAATTTATGTTGCACGAACCGTGTGGACAACTCCGGAAGAATTCGCCATGCATGGTAAATGGTAAATGTTCAAAGTATTTCCCCAAAAAATATGTTAGTCAGACGATTCTGGATAAAGCTGGTTACCTAATCTACATAAGGCGTGACAATGGACGCACAAAATAATATTGAAGTGTGGACCTGATCCAATTGCAACTATAGTTGAAAGCATCTTCCCAACCGCGAAGTATGGAATGCTAGATGAGTCGCACCTAGAAGGACGAGCGATCCTCTCACCGACTTTAGATGTTGTTTATCAAATTAATCAGTATATGTGTGACATGAACACTGCAGAAGGTCAGACGTATTTAAACTGTGACTCTTTGTGTAAGGTAGAATAAGATAGATGGTGATAATTTCTTACAAGTACACACTCTTGGTGCACCTATTATGTTACTGCGAAACATAGACCAATCTCTTGGTCTTTGCAACGGTACGCGCCTCATCGTTACAAGATTGGCGGGTCATATTGTCGAAGCAATAATAGTTAATGGAACGCAGCAAGGAAACAAAGTTCTTATACCACAAATGTCTCTTACCCCTTCTGATACGAGATTGTCATTCAAGTTCCAGCGTAAACAATTCCCGTTGATGCTAGCATATGCAATGACTATCAACAAAAGTCAGGGTTAAACACTAACTCGCGTTGTCTTATTGTTGAAAAAATCAGTCTTTAATCACGGTCAATTGTATGTGACTTTTTTCCCGAGTCACTCATCCTGATGGCCTTAAGGTTTTAGCTCTAGACGAGGATGGACAAACTTCTGTTAGTACTACTAATGTCGTCTACAAAGAGGTTTCCAACAATGTCTAATTCAAAACAGTTATATTATGTATACTTCTTGCACAAATATAACAAAATTGTTACATATCTACATATTACGTATATATTCCGTTACAAAAATTTCTATAGCTAAGTTACTACACATAAAGATAATGAGACCAATTAATTTAATTCCAAAACATTCATACAAACCTTTCAACGTTAAAATTTGCACTATCGGATATGAAGCAAATTATAATTCATATATTATAACGAATATATTCCGTGCATCGCACGGGTGCAAATACTAGTAATACATAAAAAAAAAAACATTTATGAATAATTAATAATAGGGGCACTTGAAAATAATTAATTTCATTATAAAAGAAATTAGTAGAATTTTATTTGACCAAAAAAAAATCATATTTAGTTATGGAATAAGGGCCAAATTGGCCACTGAACGTAACGCGAAAGTGCAATCAGGCCACCGAACTTAAAAAACGTGCAATTAGGCCATTCAACGCTCCAAATACCTTCAATTTCACCTAGTAGCCGGTTTTCAACTCTTTCTTCCGGTTATCTGATGACTTGGATGATTACATGGCAATATATATTATTTTATTTTAATTTCCTTTGTTTTTTGGCTTCCAGCGTGTAAGAATTAAGAAACAAACCACTCTATTATTGTTCATAAGTTCATCTTCTCAACAATGGCATAAAAGAACAAACAAAATTAGATGGAAAACACAGAAGAGCAGAATGATGCAGAAACCAACATGATTTCAAACAAGAACTCAAAATGTTACTATACACAGATTTGGAAACCAAGATTAAATCAGGTAAATCAATCGGAACTTGACACAGTGTGGGGTTTCCCAATCTTGTTCCCCCAGTACCCTCTCCTCACCGGAATCACAGACGGCGGTCACCCATTCCGCGACCCCCGTGGTCTCCACCACGCCGGCGTCCTCCAAAACCACGGCCAAATCCCCCTCTCTCAGCCATGATTGGTTCTGATAGTTGATGTTAAGATGAAACTAACAAAAGCAGAGTAAAAAAAAAAAAAGGTTTACGGACCCTCAAGATCTCCCAATTCAACCTCACCACCACCGCCGTCAACGACACCACCCACCTCACCACCCAGCTCAACCTAACCCTCTCTGCCAAAAACCCTAACAAGAAATTGATCTACACCTACCACCCCATCTCCCTCACCGCCTTCGGCCCCCAAGTAACCCTAGCCAATGGCTCCTTCCTGGGTTTCCCCATAGACCCGAATAACATCACAATAATCCACTCACCTCCCAAGTTCTCGACGCCGATTTCGTCTCCGAACTCAATTCAAATCTGAAGAGAAGCCGTGGATTGACCATAGGATCGTCATGGACACCATGGTTGTGCTGATGCTTGAGAAATTGCAGAGAAATAAGAGAAATCGAAGAAGAAATTAGAGTGGTTTGTTACAGCTGAAAGTCATAATATGTTGAAGAGGTGAAATTTGTTTCTAACAGTGATTATGTTACAGCTTTGTTTCTAAAAGTGATGATGTTACAGCTTTTCTTTTAATTTCAATAAAAGAGAAATTGAAGAGGGTTACACGTGGAAGCAACAAAACAAAGGAATTAAAAGAAAATAATATATATTGCCATGTAATCATGCAAGTCAGCATTTAACCGGAAGAAAATGTTACAAACCGGCTACGCGGTGAAATTGGAGGTATTTGAAGTGTTGAGTGGGGTAATTGCACATTTTTTAAGTTCGGTGGCCTGATTGCATTTTCGCGTTACGTTCAGTGGCCAATTTGACTCTTATTCCTTTAGTTATTTACCCCATGTGCGGATTCTACTACGTCGTTTCCATCCCTGCCAGACTGCCGGTTCTCTCATTCCCTCTCCCATAGACTCCCCTGAACTGCTCACTGTCCGTCCAGTCATCCTTACGAGTTGCGGCCGATTTCGGCTCTCACTCACCCAGTAACGAGTCACGACTCACGAGTCCTGCCCTCACCGCCTCACCGGAGTCACCGGTTGCTCAATCGCAGAATCGCTCACAATTCACGGCCTCACCCTCGGAACATCGCAGCTTCCAGTTCCAACTCTCAAGTCTCAAGGGTTCAATAATCAAAGCCATTCAAAGGTAATGCAGACTAATTTCCATTTGAGTAATTGTTCACTTTGGATTATATACAAGATTGAAGTGTATGTTGATGAATGAAGACTGAAGTGTCTGCTGATGAATGAAGAGCGAAGTGTCTGCTGAAATTCCATTGTTGATTATCAACTCTCCGGTGTTGATTTTGTTAAAAGTTGATGAAATTTGAATTTTGGAATATGTCATGACTTTGGATTTTTATGCTTACTTTAATTTTATTTACTGTGAAGTGGAATATGTCATGACTTTAATTTTATTTAGTATGAATTGTGAAGTGTTGTTGAATTCCATTGTTGATTGTCCACTACTCCACTGTCCATTTATTTACTATTTACTGTAGCATTTAAATACAGTATGAATTGTGAAGTGTTGTTGAATTCCATTATTGATGCTTACTATTCCAGTGTAGATGGTAAATAATATCGGTTTTTCGGTTACTGAAATAACCATCCAACGGTTATGTGTATAGTCGGTCGGTTCGGTCAATTACGTGAATTAAAAAAAGGTGTCGGTTATCGGTCGGTATTGACCGTAACTGACTGATGCTCACCCCTACCTGAACACTTGTGCAAGATTAGATTTCTGTGCAAATTTTCATCTGTTGTCTATTGACTATACGACGCTGTTGAGTCTCTCCCCTGCCAGAGGCCCAGAACCCCGTACCTCTGGCCTCTGGGCTTTTCTGTCGCTAAGAAGCTGATATTATTGAAGGCAGAGAATATAATGTATTTCTTCCTATTTGTATGTTTCTTTCCATGGTGCTAATCTTGGGCAATGAGGTAATCCGGATTGTTTCAAAAATTTCGAAGAAAACGTGGGAATCTAGATGCCCAATTGCCCACGTTTAGAATTCCCAATAACCTTACGAGATTACCTCAAACCAAATGCTCTTGAGAAATGAAAACCACTCCTGCTCATGCTAAATGTTGATTGTTTATATCTCTGTAACTTCTCTATTCTTGCACTTTCCCTTCTTTGCATTCCACAATAGGTTGCTGTGCTCACTCGCTCTTTACTGCTCGCCCCCTTTTCTTCTGCCCAAAAAAGTAAAGATTTTTCTGCTAATTTTCATCTTTTGTTGACTTTGGCTTTGATTGGTGAGCATTTTTGTGGCTATCATATGCAAAAAAATTTCCAGTCTTTGCACTTCCATTTTGGCATTTCTGAAAATTCTCATAAATTTGTGAAATTTTCTGATATAATAATAATAATGGGTTTTACAGTTCATATCATTTTTTTTTTGTGTATTTGCAAATTCATGCATTCCTGGTGGCATCCAAGAAAAAATGATAATGTTGAGAAAATCTTTTTTTTTTTTCCTTTGAATTTTTATTCTAGATGGTTCATAGCTGCATAATGTTACTCTGCAAATGTTTAGAAGTACAACTGCTTAGTACTAAAAAAAATTTGGACATTTATTGCTCCCTCTATATTCTCGTAATAACTCAAAATCTTGTAAAACAACAAATGAAGTTTGGAATTGGTTACTTTTATGAATTTTTAGTGCAATCGGTTGATGCATTCCCAAGATCTGTGTAATACCTTCAGCTAACTAGATATTTGAAAAATTTATCATTATAGGAATTCACTGGGGAAATAAAGATGTCTAGGTTTCGTTCACTATTGCAAGCTTCCCTTACTGCAACAAAAAGAGGTAAGCTTATATTCTCACTTGATCTTTTCCAAGTTTTACGTATTTACTTCATGCACCTGCTTAACAACTGGTTCCTATTCTTTTATAGATGCAATTTTCATCTTTTGTTACTCTATATTTCTTTATTAAGCCCCTTCGCATATTTACGCATCTGGTTATGGTTTTTAAACTAAGGCATAGAGAAATAGTCCTAAGCACAGTTTGAAGAAGTGCAGTTCACAAGGAAAATAGTCTTAAGATGGGATTGTATTTAATGGCTTATCTTTGGAATTTCTATTGAGCTTGCGTTTCTTATTATAAATGAGGGTGATTTCTGTATCTTCTAGTGCTTGGGCATATGTTGTGGTATAACCTTAGTGCTCGTGTGGTCTCATGCTCAAGTTGGGGAGAATATACACAAATTTGATTGCGTCTTGAATCAACTATTAGTTGGCACATGCGAACAAATATATTTTTCTAATCATTCTTTATTGGTGGGCCTAATTTTGTTGTTTAATCTTACAACTTGCAGCACTTACATGGAACCTTGAAGACTTAATTCCTCCGAGTGAAAGATATATTTTCAATTTCAATTCGAAGGATGAACTGAAAAAGTGGCATTTGTATTCAGATTCTGAATATGGAGGTGTGTTTACTTGGACGATTTTCTCGTAGGTTCTATATTGCATGAAATACATGTGATGGCCTGGCAGGCAAGAGGAGTATTCTCTCTTGAATATTTTCCTATTGTGTTATTTATTTATTTTGATTCCAATTCATGTTTACTACCAAACAAAGAGACTTCTTCTGAGTATGGTATGAGCCGAAAGGTGCCTCCTATAGTTAGGGCCTATCCAGCCACCCAGGATACCTCGTGGTCTAACAAAAAAAAAAGACTCCCTTCTCTTAAACCCATTAACATTACCAAGTATTTGATTCCTATTACAAATTCCAATTCCAAAGTTTGAACCAAATGCCCCCTTACTTTTTGGATATCTTTACTATTGTACTATATGCCATGTCATTGTTACTCAAGAATTATGTGATCGATACTTCAGTTATTTATGATTTGTCAGGTCTTTCATCTGCATCTCTGGAGATTAAAGATACTACTAATGGATCTAGCACTGTTGGTAAGCACATATGATACATCTCTTTCCCAAAGGCAAAAGTGTTTCAATTTTCAAAATCTTTTTCACAGTGAAATGTGGAATGTATGGTTTTCTGACTTTTCTCCTTTGGACTCAAGAATTATGTGATCGATACTTCAGTTATTTATGACTTGTCAGATCTTTCATCTGCATCTCTGGAGATTAAAGATACTACTAATGGATCTAGCACTGTTGGTAAGCACATATGATACATCTCTTTCCCAAAGACAAAAGTGTTTCAATTTTCAAAATCTTTTTCACAGTGAAATATGGAATGTTTGGTTTTCTCCTTTGGACTCTATTTCATACACTAGATGCTACTTTGTTCTGTCATAATCAGTTAGAACATTTTGCTGATAGCCACATAAAAACTAGTGGCAGAAACAGGATTTTTGAGTTAGGGGAAGGGGGTTGTGGGCAATGATAGGGAAGTTTCTTTACTTTGCTTGTGTGTATCTATCCAACCCAAATTTTGAAATGAAATTTTGCTAAAATCAAATTTCATTATGCAAATTGAAAAATAATAATTAAAAAAATATATCATATTAAACAATTAAAGAATATACTACTCCGTAATTAATAAAAATGCACAGTACTTGTAATGTACACAGAATAATCAATAATGTAAGCCAATAGAATCATAGACATCAATTCTCATAATTCGTTGTGGCTTACACTAAACCTTGTTTGTGAAGTTAAGCACAGCCTGATATATTGACGAAAAAAGTGAAATTCTTGTTTCTTCACAGCTCGTTATTTTGGTGACTGTGATAGGGGTATTTTCTGGGAACCTCTCTTTGGATGTTGCCGAGGGTTCAAAATGGAATATGACTAGAAGTGGCTTTTGCGGAATGCGGTCTAAAAAGGTACATATTATTTCAACCAGCGCTTAAGATTCTAATCTATGCATGCTTATCTCTTTAGTTGTTGGATCAAGTGTGAGCAATAAGTTTTAGTTGTTTAAGAACTAAAACTTATTGCTCACACTTGATCCTCAAGAAACTCTCTGATTTCATCATTGTTTACGAGCAATTCTTACTCTTAGTAGGTCAACTCTAAGCTGTGTTATTATATTAGAAATTTTCGTTGATCAATCATAACGCATAATCTACAAAAGAGTGTAATTTTGCTTTTCTTAGTCTTTGCCGTGCTTAATTTTTGTTTAACAGTTTGATGGCTTCATCGATTTGGACGCATATGACACAATAGCACTCAAACTCAAAGGAGACGGGAGGTGCTACATCTCTACTGTGAGTTCCTGCTAGAATACATCAACAAATAACAATTAAATTATGAAACTTTCATTTCTATAAAGCACCAAATATTAGCGTTGTCTTTTTTTTTTTTTTTTTTTTTTTTGTCAAATGTATAATAAATTGTCACAATAATTTAATAATCTTATATGTAACTGCAGATTTACACACAGAATTGGGTGAATTCTCCTGGGCAAGAGGAAGATAACTCATGGCAAGCATTCGTGTTTGTACCTAAAGACAGCTGGTACATAGCTAAAGTAAGTTCCTTACGATCTGCATTCCTTACTTGTGCTTTCTACCCTGTCGACAATTGAGAAAGGAAGGCTTATTCATGATAAGAAAATAGGATATTTCCAGCCGATTTAAGCTCTTGTATTTGGCTACAGATACCCCTTTCCAGGTATGCGCCAACGTGGAGAGGGAACTTAATCAACGCGGAGATGGAGATGAATCCTTCTCGAGTTCTTGGCATGTCTCTATCTGTCAATGCTGAAGGCGGAGTGCCAGGCGCAAAGTCTGGGGCGGGCGATTTTCATGTGGAAATTGATTGGATCAAAGCCTTGAGAACAGAATGAGCAAGACTGAAGTAACTTTCAGAACTGGGAAACTGGAGTTGCAAGGAAAGGATGAAACTTCAATATTTATGTTTCCTTTCATATGCACTCCATTTTGTGATAGCAATAAAATAGATGGTTGAGGATTTTTTTTTTTTTTTTTTTTTTTTGGACTATTGTGTTTACACATGTAAATCCAAGATTCAATTTTGATTTGCTTTGGGATATAAAAACAGCCCAAAAATAATTTTACAAAGAAAAAAAAAAAACCTTAGTCATTGTTAGTTGTTACTGTGGTTAAAATTCTTGTTGGTAATTAGGTCATCAAATTATTTTATGAGGTAAATGTGAAAGGAATAAGAGTCAAATAGACTATTGAACTACACATCAAATGTAATTAGGCCATTGAATTTAAAAAACATGCAATTGGATCCTTAAACTAATTAATTTTATGCAATTAGTCCAAAAATCAGTTGATCAAGTGCAAAAAACTCTAACCAACTACTATGTAGTATGATAATATTCCAATTATCAATTTATAAATGAGGGGTCATAAGTTCGAACTTCGATGGTGGGACGTTGTACTCTTTGTGTGCATGTGTGATTTTTTTTTTTTTTTTTTCCCGCTAATCAAATTATGAAAAAATCTTTTCAAAAAAAAAAAATTTATGAAAAAATATTTCATCTTTTTAAAATTTTATTTGTATTTGGTGAACAAAAATTTATGTACATGCTATTTAGTAGTTATAGCATAACAAAGAGGAAAGAAATTGGTTTCCCCAGGGCCCAGGCAAGGTCATGCTGGTTAATTACTTAACGACAACAACCTAAGGCAAAGGTTAGTCTGCGTTCTTTTGACTGTTGTCCGTTGAGCCACCGCCAGTCCGCCACTGCGCCTCCGTCACTTCCGGCCGCTCTGCTAAGCTCTGTCACTTCTTCACACACGGGAGGAAGAAGAGATATTCAAGGCAGATAATATAAGGTACTACTTCCTCCTATTTGTGTTACAACTTTGTACAAGTACGTGCAGTTTTAATTTCGTGGAAATAAGAATGTATTTATGTTGATTTTATTGGAGAACTATATGAAACTACTAAATTTGAGGTTTAAAGCTGCGGACGGGTAAGTTGTGAAATGCCTGCAAGGTGTTTGTGAAAATGCTTGAATAAATTTGTTTCCCCATGCATGCCTCTTTCAAATTGAAATACCACATGATAACAATTCATATGCTGAAACTGATCATAGGCCTTTGAATAGAATCTTCTTACTTTGTGGCTATTGAATGCTCCTGTTTAACTGCTCAATTTTGATTTATTTATTCTTGACAATGGTAGTGAAATCTTTTAAATTACTTAATTACTGCTTGTAATGATTATGCACTGATCTTTCTAATCTGTATAGGTGTGCCAGTCTGAGAAAATGTCAAATCCTGCTTCAATTGGAAAGTTTGCTAGGCATATCAGTCAACTTATATTGGTTAGAAATCGTATGTTTGCATGCTCTTATAGTACGGTTGTTCGATCTCCTCAAGTCCCGTTCCAAGGCGGTGTGAAGACGATGGGATCTGGAGATCATCGGGTTGATTATGAAGTATCACCTAAGTTTTCAGGGAAAGATAGTGAAGTTGAAATGAAGCGCCAAATAGGAGCAAATGTTTCGAGAAAGGATAAGATCAGCTTTCTAGTAAAGACGCTTCTTGACCTTAAGGATAGTAAAGAAGGTATATACAATGCCCTGGATGCCTGGGTTGCTTGGGAGCAGAACTTCCCAATTGGGTCACTGAAGCAGGTTATACTCAAACTTGAGAAGGAGCAACAATGGCATAGAGTTATCCAAGTTATAAAATGGATGTTAAGCAAGGGGCAAGGCAACACAAGAGGGACTTATGGGCAGTTAATTCAAGCATTAGATATGGACCATAGGGCGAAAGAAGCACGTGAGATTTGGAGGAAGAAACTTGGTTTTGACCTACATTCGGTTCCATGGTCATTGTGCAGCCTTATGATTTCTATCTATTATCGGAATGATATGCTGGAGGATCTTGTAAAGCTGTTCAAGGGCTTGGAAGCATATGGGCGAATACCACCTGAGAAATTTATTGTGCAGAAAGTAGCCGATGCATATGAAACGTTGGGCTTATCTAAAGATAAAGAATGCTTATTGGAGAAGTACAAGGATCTCTTTAATGAGACACAGGGTGGAAGGCCCAAGAAATATAGGGGATTTCAGGCCAAGAAAAAAGGGAAAGCAAAGAAGGAAGATTGAGAAGGGGTTTCTTATACATATCTCATTCAACAGCTTCCTGCCAATATTTGGTACAAATTGATCCTTATTGAATGCATTATACATATGGTGCATGCAAACAGGGAAAATGACTATAATGTGACAAAACTAGCATGTATTTTCAAAATTAGGACGTTTTTAAAAGTTGGACAAAATTAGGAAAAAGACATTTGGAAAATGTGTTTTATGCCCGTCCCGGTCAAATACAAACGCGTTTTTTTTTTTTAAAAAAAAAAATCTTGGTCTCCGGCGACTAGTTTTGGTTGCCGGCTTCTCCAGCGAAGGAAAAGGCGACCAAATTGGTCGCCTTCTCCTTCGTTGGAGAAGCCAACAGCCAATTTTGGTCGCCGGTTTCTCCAGCGAAGGAGAAGGCAACCAGTGGTCGCTTGAGAAGCCGACTGACATAAAACGTATTTTCCAAATGTCTTTTTCTTAATTTTGTCCAACTCTCAAAAATGTCCTAATTTTGAAAATACATACTAGTTTTGTCACATTACGGCCATTTTCCCATGCAAACAAGGTTTCAACCAATGTGGCCTGTGGGTATGAAAAATCTTGTCGAGGATGAATATGTGAAGAAACTATTGGTTTACATATTTGCATGACTAGTGGGTAATTGTATCTTACCTGTTATCGTGAGCATCACACATTCACATCCACAACTTCATGTATTTGATGCTCGGGAAATCATGCATTTGTGAACCCAAAATAATTCTTTATCGCAATTTTGAGTTTTGATCCTTACAATCGATTCTAATGCTCTTGTTTTTGTGGTCTATATGTTTATTGTCGCAGTGTTATATTTCAAGTAAATGTTCAGGATATCTGGAGGTTGTCTTGTTATATATATCAAATTTATAGCAATAGGAAAAATTACATTTTTGGTCATTCAGTTATATTCGTGATATGAACTTAGTGCATGAGTTATGTGCATTACCATTTTTAACCGTGACAATTGTAGTTCCTCGAAGATTATTTCTGCCACTAATATGTCACTTAATAAAGTAATTGATTTGGTCCTTCAAAAACTAAAATTATCACTATGTTCATACTTGAGGGTTAAAGATGATTACACATTAACTCGAGAACTAGATCTGTACTATATGCATAATTAAAAAATCAAAAATGTAATTTTTTCGTTGCAATACATATATAATGGATTCACCAAATCTGCTCCAATTTGTCAAATTCGCCTAATCCTCTTCCATATCATCCACATCCACTTAAAGTAGATGGAGTGTTCATTCATTTATGGTGTTTGAAAATGGTAAACCAGGAAAATGACTTTTGAAATAGTTTCATTTTCAGCGGTTGTATTTTGAAAAATTGTCTTGGTGTGTTTGATTCATTTTCTAGAAAATGAGTAGAATTATATAATTAAACATTTTAATTGTTTTATTTAGAATTAAAAAAATATTTAAATAATATTAAAAATAATGTTATTTATTAAACTTAAATTTTTTTTTTTAAAAAAACTAAGTTTCCGGCAAAAACCAATAAATACTAGTTTCCGTCGGAAATCAGAGGTTTGGTTTCCGCGGCGGAAACCAAGGTCAAACTGGATTCAAAGTTGACTTGGTCAGTGGAAAATGACTTCCGTAAAACTTTAGCGGAAGTCATTTTTCTCCAAATTCCAAAATAGTCATATTTTTCTTAGTCAACGAAAAATGATTTCTATTGACTTGATTTTTCAGACACATCGAAACATTAGAAACCCGAAGAATAATTTTCAGAAATCATTTTTCGACTTTCCAATCACAACCTAATGAAAATTCACTAGTAATGGATTGGATGCGGTTGGCTTATGAAAATCCACTATAGTGAGCTACTTGGCTTTTAGCCTATACTATAAAATTATATATATATATATATATATATATATATAATTATGATTCAATTTTATTTTTTAATTTTTCTGCACTTAGCCTAGGGTTTTAGGTCTCTTTACAAATTTTCCACATTCTACATTCTTCAAATCAAATTTGTTCTTCACTGCGTCACAATCACAAGTTCAACATTGCGTTGAAGATAATGAAGATTTTTAAATTTGTGAATTTTAAATTAAGTATTCATTGTTAAGGAATATAATTCATTAATCCTACGAAAAAATTAACAAGCACACAATCAAAAACGAAAGGAGAAAATGATAAGTTAGCTTGAGTCGTGTGATACCTACATTATCCTTAAAACCTTATTTGTTACATCCTAAAGGTGCTAGGAGCGTTGTAGCATAGGCTTCCCAAGGTAAAACAAGATACGATTCTATGTTTGAGCACTCAAACAAAAGAATCCGACGAACTAAAACAAGGTTTTGAACACAGATAATGAAAAGAAGGAAGAGCAGAGTTTCGAGAGGAAGAAGACTGATTTTTCAGTGTGTATAAAATTACATGTTCAACCAAAGCTTATATAGGAGTTGAATGATTAAATAACTTTTAATCATGGCATTAACACTTATAATAAAATCAGTCTTTTGTAACCTCCATAACAAACGATCATTAACCTGTGAATTAATTCTCAAATTCAAAATTAGAGTTAATTTATAATTAATTCCGTAATAGCTGAATTAATACATAGAACGGTACTCCGAAGATTGGTTCGAATGGTCCGAAACATGAGTAGTTCGAAAGGTGACTACTTCGAATAGTACTTAGAAGGTTACGAATTCGAAAGGTAACTACTCCGGAAGGTGCCTTCGAAAGGTACCCGGAAGATTACATTCAAGTAGTCAACTGTTCGGTCAAACCGAACATTCATGTCCGAAAGGTAACTACTCAACCGAAAGGTGAAAACAATAGGCAAAAAAAAAAACTGTAGTTAGTCATGAAAAAAGTAAAAAAAAAACTGTAGTTAGTCATGAAAAAAGTAATTAAAATAAAAGGTTACCGGATATTACGTGATTGATAAATAATAGCTTGTAGGCTTTGATGTAAGATCTCCATTGGGCACCTTGTCAATCTTGAAAAAACATTCGCTCTAACCAATTTGAGCATAGCATTTATAAATATTTAATCCATGATGGAGCTGCAAAACATGCGTATTGATTTGATATTGTATGTATTACAATTGCATACAATATTTTTTTTTTTCCATTAACGGTATAGGCGAAATAACGTTTCATTTCCTTATGATAAGCGTTGACCGTCGACATTGTTGTAAAACGAACAAATATGTTCATGTTAAAATTTTAGATGTTAAAAGAGATATAGTATATGTAAAAGTTTATAAATTTGGGGAGATGTTGGTATGGAATGGTAATGAAAATTATCGTGATTTATATAACACTAGAGAAAACAAGATCGAAAAATGTCTCCCTGGGAGGCATGTTAATTGATGTATATATTTATTAATGTACATTTATTTACCGTATTATTCTCGTACTATCTTCGTATAATGTACCGCTTTAGAATACCTTTTAAAAAAGATAAAAATACATTCATGAGATGCATGTTGAAAAAAGTAAACATGCATCCTATAGTGTTTCTTTAATGTCATTTTAAATATGATGTGAAATAAATGCTATTTTTTTTCCTTTAAAAAAGGTTACATGACACAAATAACTAGTCTTGAATGTAATTATTTACAATTTAATTGTTTTTACTTTTAAATACAATAAAAGTTCCCTATTTATAGCTACGGATCGGGCTTATAACGAGAATTATATTGTCATGACTCATGAGCATGATAGGCCTCGTGACAGCCTTGGTGCACTTTCTGAAGTTTGATCTCTCACGAAAAGAATCATGGCGTGACGCTATACGTGATAGCCGAAGCTGCATACAGAAGTCCTATTCACGAACATTCTTCATAGCGTGACGGGCTTTGTGATAGCAAAAGTGGCTCTCTAAATTGAAGTTGGTATTACAAGTGTGACACTGCTCGTGATTGTAGGAAATGTCTCTCTTGTGTTGGTTTCACGCCTTGCTTCACATGCGTGATAGCCTCTCGTGATGCCGTATCCTGCTTCCATCATATTCTGTCCAATTTGCTTCCAAATTGCCTTTGTTTGAGTCCTTTTTACCTCTAAAACTTGATATGTATCGGCATTAGCTGCTCCTACACAATTAATCTCATAATTGATCACTTTAAACATAATTAAAGTAATTCTAATCCAAAATTGATAAATTTATACACCATACAAATAGTACAATTTGATATTTATCACTTGCGTTGAAACTCTTGGCGAACTCATATCCCTATTGGGGTGATGTTTAAAATCATATGATTTTTCATGTAAAACACACACATATATATGGTACTACACATTTATCATTTCATATGTTGGATCTTCAACACCACTCTTCATGTCGGTGAACTGAAAATTTTGTATGTAGTTATTGTTTTACCACAAATAATCGAATCTAAGACGTTTTCAATACTATAAATTCAAATATCATTACAATGCAAATTGTTTTTACTCATATTAATTACTCATAACCTAATTAAATAATACGGAGTATACAAATTAATGAGATAAACTGACTTCGCTATTCATATTCCAAAAGTTAATTGATCCCTTGTCCTTATCATGCTAACCAAACAGCCCCTCAAGTCGTTAAAAGGTTGGACAGAACCTGCCTAACCTCATTAATCGTTGACTGAATTTTTAATTATTTTTGCCATTTATTTTTCAACTAGTATCTAAATTTTAATTTCAATCAATTTGATACTTAAATTATTTAAAATTTTGTCAATTAAATTCTTTTAGAAATCAAATTGACAAAATTTTAAAAATGTTAAAATTACTATTTTGGTCCCTGAAAAGATTAAACTAATGAAAATTTAAATAATTTGAGAATTAAATTAGTTGAAATTAAAAATTATGAATTACATTAACAGTTAAAAAAAATAATTGAGGGAACCAAATATTGATTAATTTTAACTTAATTAATGGCGAATCTGAATCTAAATCGGTCTGGTCGACATGTGAAATATTTTGCAATCAACTCCTCTCCGCCCTTGATTCGTCCCACATTTGACTTTGATATGTCACACGTGGATTGTCTTTTATGGATCTGATGAGTGATCTGGAGTCTGGACACCCCACTTTACTATCTCCTTTCCTTCTTTTTGCAATTACTCCATTTTTTCTTCTTCACGACAGGCAATAACACGCCAAACTGTAACGTTGTATACGCCGAGTTTTAAGTTATTAGAATTATGTTTTTTTTTTTCCTTAAAATAAAAGTTCTAGAATTATATGTTTGGAAATTTTTACTCAAAAGGAAATAAAATATTTTCCAAGATTTATACTCGACAGACAGACATTTTATGAATTACTATCTCAGGCCCGCATGGATAGCTCAACTAGTTATAGAGGTGAAAATTTGGAAGAATGACCAAAAATCGAGTCTCACCAGCGGCAGTGTGGGAGTAACCTCTCAAAGTGAGGGGGTGGTTTATGTTCAGTTGAGTTATCATGATTTACATCCTCCTAATGCTCTGTCGGAAAACTTAGCATAACCCTACCTCCGATTCTCCATAACCAAGCTCTGTCGGAAAACTTAGCATGACCCTACCTCCGATTCTCCATAACCAAGCCTAACTTAGCATGACCCTACCTCCGATTCTCCATAACCAAGCCTCCGTGGTTTATGTTCAGTTGAGTTATCCGATTCTCTATAACCAAGCCTCTGTGGTTTATGTTCAGTTGAGTTATCATGATTACATACTCCTAATGCTCTGTCGGAAAACTTAGCATGACCCTACCTCCGATCCTCTATAACCAATAGATTAATGCCCTGTTTGGTAAACTAG